GCGCAACGAAGCATTAGAGTGGCGGGCTACGTACCTTGAGGTTCTCAAAAAGCTCTACAATCTTGTCGTACATGGACGAGACGTTGTTCGCAGCGTTGATCAGGTACGCAACAGCGGAGAAGACTGTTTGGACAGGAGGGTACGTCTCTGAAAGTGCTCCTCCAACGACCTCTCCAATAACCTGAACAGGCTCGAGCATGGCGCTCAGAGCACCAAAGATGTGATGCCGCTTCTCGCGGAAGGAGGAGAATTTGTCATTCTGCGTGACCAGTTGGGCTTTGAGCTCGTCGATCGATTTCATTGGTGGTTTTAGAAACTCCTCGAGGCTTTGCCCCGAGGATTCCTGGTACTGTTTGGCAGCATCGACGAGCACGGCAGCAAACTGGTCCTCGACGGTTGCATGAGGCGTGGGGCTGTATTTTGGCGGTTCGCCTTGCGGACTATATTTTGGTGGTTCGCCCATTCTGAACTGTGCTTCTTGTGCCTGTCCAGGCTATGAAAGCCAGGTAAAGACAGAGACTAATAAAATACGCAACTTCAAGAGACAGAGGGGGATATCCAAGACGAGCAGCGGCCGACGCCCAGCGTTTTATACGAAAGGACGCGAATTCGATCTAAGCCTGTGGTATACGTAGCCCCTCCACGCACAGGGCACAACGACAGGATGAGGCCGTTTGATAGGCCCAAGCTCATGGGGATTTTCGCCGCTGCAGCTTGACTAAGAATATTTGATGAGCGGACACAACTAGAAGGAGGGGTTGAAGATGCATCGTCGTGGGGCGGAGGGGAACAGGCAGCGGACTCGTGACAGGGACAAGGGCTTGCTGATTGGTGACTGGACGGCTTTAGGGCTGCATATCGTCTCAGGGCGACGAAGCCGACAACAAACCCCTACATAGCCACAGGGGGGTCGGAGGACAGAATAAAGTCGGGCGTTGGGCACTGGCCTTTGGGAGACTGGGTGGAGTTGGGCTCAGACACTGGTTGCGGCTCAAGAAAGAGCCGTCTAGATGCTGAAGTTGGGAGGACTTTGTGTTCGCGTGATGCGGTGTGAGATGTGGATATGTAAGGCATCGACGGTTGGTTTAGTTGGCGGTAGTACCTGCCAAAACCTGGGGTTTGTGTGCCATGCATGTCATAACTACCCTGGAGCCAGCAAACAGGCATGCATAAACATAAACATAGAGAACAGTATATAGGACGCCTGATATACATCCAGCCACCGCCATAAAGACCCAAATGTCCTCCTGACTCACTGTTCACAGCCTTGTGACAGAAGACCTCCTCTCTCTTTCCTCCCCGTCGCAGGAAATACAGGTGGCGTGAATGTGATGCATCTACTGTTGGAGGGTTGTTACAGGTGCTCCCGGCACGGCCCGCTAATCAAGTGCTCCTGGGACCAACAAACTCTGCTAAAACGAGCGCCGCCTTCAGCCTGCTCTAATAATATACCTCTAAGCCGTACGTGGTAGTATTCTTATGTACGTCGACATTACCGAAATATAGCTAATTTTATTGCTGACTGCCGGCAGTATCAAGGCACCAAAAATCTTCAATTGTCTGACCAACAACCAGAGTGCCGAAAATACCCATGCCATGATGCGTTATCCCTTGTTGACGCAGATCAGTTGAGTCAGCTCCTTCAAGTCCCACCCAAAAGACAGTCACGAGCTGTGACTGAACCGGCGCATACCGTCATCGCCTTGCCCGATAGTAGTGCATTGATGACGGATGATGTGGACTATCTTCTGCAAACTGTCCATGCTGAATATAGGACTTGGGCTTCATAGGTCCAGAGAGTGATTAATAGTGTCAGCCCTCCCTCTTCACCAGCAGGCAGCCACTTTGGGATGATCGAGGAGGCGTCTTCTGTCAGTGCAGCGTCATCAATACTACCCATGTTTTGTATTCCTTAGGGACTAGTTTCTAGTCTTTGCCGGTGGCTTTTTTTTTCTGGAAAGTGTTAGAAAAAAGTATCAGAGTTATTGTCCTTCCGTATCGAGGACTAAGCCACACATTAAAAGTTCTTGGCATAACTCACCAAAGCGGCGCGTTATACCCGGTGCGCTCTAAGCCTCATAAGATGACTCTTTATCATACGTAAGTGTTGTTATATTCTACACATTGTTAACTATCGAGTTACTGCTAGAGGGCGAACCTCGATTGATGTGATATAGGGTAGGCGCCATCGAAGGGATATCATCCCCTTATCATTAACCAAAGTTTTCTAGAGCCCTTTTATTTTATTTTATTTTATTTTGTTTTCTTTTTGGTGGAAGACTAAACGATCGGGGCTATTTTTTTTTCTTTTTCTTTTTTTTATCTTCATCTATTTGTTGTAAATCTGGTTTGATATGAAATTGCACTCATGTCTTTCTCTCTGAGCAGGTACTCAAATGAGGTTCTTGCTTGCAGAATGCTTGGGAGGAAGCGGCTGTACACGTCCCAAGATGCCGTGAAAGAATGCCGGCATCGCAAATTGGTATGAATTGTATAGATATTCCAAGAGGTAAGACAAATCTCAGCGTGCAAATTCGTATCGACACCCAGGGAGGTCATTCCTGTACATCATCCGCCAACAAGCCCACGGTCGATCCTCATCGAAGCAATGTAGTAATTGCAGACTTGGGGAAGTATTTCAGGATACAGACTCATAGATTGTATATGTAATGTAGGATAAAGGACTGCATCGATATCAGTCTTCTAATGAAATGCACTCAAATTTGGCTGGTGGCATATGTCTCAGGGAAGAGTACTTGGGTTGGAATGTCACACACATCTCGACCGCACTTGCTCGAGAATGCTTCTCCTTTTTCTATTAATATCCTACAAATGAAACGCGTCAAGAAAATTTGGTCAAATTCTTCTCAAGAAACAAGAATTTGACTTCCCAGCTAGCATCAAGCTTGCACATGCTGACATGAGGAGTAATGAACTAAGAGACTAGTCAACATTCTGGGGCCGATTCAAAAACCCGCCGATACCGCTTGAATTCAATAAGTTGAAGAAAGACTATAATTTCGAGAGTCCGGTGGATATCTTTCAACGCGAGTTTGTGACCCATGCTTTCATTAGAGAGTGTCATGTAGGGCTGAACCGGACCTTGTTTTGCCAAGTTGCTCGGAAAAGAGGAGATGAGTCTGATTCAAATTTTCGACGGTAGCGAGCACAAATTCTTCAAATGTTCCTGGATGTCTTAGACAAAAGAGCTTGAATAAAGGGGGCAAGATTGATTCCATCCGTGCGAAGAACCACTCCAGGCGAAGACATGTAAACAACCCCTGACCGCCTTTGATCTGGCACGAACAAACCGCTCGCATGTGTCATGTTCGACTTGCCGTCATGCTACCGAGATCCACTACTGGAAAAAGCAGACTTGCAACACAAGTTTATGGATTCCGGGGTAGACTAGACAAGGATTCTATTCTAATATCAATCCTTGCTCTAACGCTGGACCAGTTCGGCGTCTTATCCGGGGCCCCAGAGGTAATTGGCGACGCTGATTTATGGTCGCGAACTCTTTAGATCAGAGTTATACGATCTACTTTTCAAACAAAGGTTAGCATACATATAGGATGATTAGCGCAGTAGGCGGAAATAGCAATGTAAACGGGTGTGGAATTGAGTTATTTAGGAATTGTTTTCTTTGGGAAGATGAATCTTCGTCGTAAGGAGAGAGGACAAACAGCGTATGAGTTTCGAAACAAGATCCAATAACACGATACACGGGTTACCTACGGCTCATGTAGCAATATGATATTTTGCTTCATCAGAATGAAGACTAAGATGAAAATTCTATTTCTTTTCCTTGGGCCGGAGTTGATTGGGCCTCGAGCATCCCTTGTATTGTCTCTTGCGCGTTGGAATGCCCCAATATGAAGCAGGCCAGGCGCAGCATCAGCACTGCCTCTGGAACGTTTTGTAGCAAGAAGCAAGTCACTTAGATCCGGCTGGTGTATTCCGCCGAGTGGTGCGCCGGTAAGATTCCCACTCTTGATCCAGGCATCGTTGAAGTGTTGCTGATGGCTGGCACGAGCCGCACATCTGGGTATTGGACGGCATCGCATTCCTCATCTCGGCGAGAGGCTAGGCGCGCTGAGAGCCCATTCCAAGCTACACCTTGAGGCGCTTGTTGAATACACAATCACCAACTCTAAGGGATGATGAAGTTTGTCTATATAATGATGCCATTGTCATAGCCTTCTCTGGTTTTTCTCATCAACAACCAACTCAATTCACTCTCTACACATTCACACACAGGCTCCCTCAGCATCATTCGTGATCAAGCATCATCATCAACAATGGCCAAGTCAATCCTTCTCACTGCTGCCCTCGCGGCTGCCGTCGTTGCCCAAGGCGGCCCCGGTGGCCCGCCTCCCCCAGGAGTCGTCGCACCTTGGGGACCTCCTCCTCCTCACCATTGCCCTGAGGGCAAGCCTTGCCCGCCTCCACCACCTCCTTGCCACGACTGTGACGATGAGTGCGGTCCGGAAATTTGCATCATCATCATCGACGGGACCGTCCCTCCTTGCGCTGGCGGCCATTGCCTGCCCGCTTGCCCATCCAAGTGCCACAAGAAGAAGTGGCCTCAGGGTCATCCCGAACCACCATGCCACGGCGACAAGTGCCCCCCTCCTCCTTGCCATGGAGAGAAGTGTCCTCCCCCTCCCCACCATGGCGAGAAGTACCCTCCTCCTCCTCCCTGCCACGACGAGAAGTGCCCTCCTCCTCCATGCCATGGCGAGAAGTGCCCTCCTCCTCCCCACCATGGCGAGAAGTACCCTCCTCCTCCTCCTTGCCATGGTGAGAAGTGCCCTCCCCCTCCTTGCCACGATGAGAAGTGCCCTCCTCCCCACCATGGCGAGAAGCACCCTCCTCCTCCTCCTTGCCACGGTGAGAAGTGCCCTCCTCCC